GGTCACAGTAAGATTGCCAGTATATGACTTCCTATTCAAATTCAATAGTAACTTTGGACCTATCTCTGCCAGTTTTCGAGATATAAGGGATAGAAAATTTGCAAAGTTCAGTTCATGTTGAAAGGTAGGTCAAAGGTCAATTTCAAGGTCACAATAAGAATGCCAGTATATGACTTCCTATTCAAGTTTAACAGTAACTATGGGTGTATCTCTGCCAGTTTTGGAGATATAAGGGCTGGATAATGTGCAAAGTTCAGTTCATGGTGAAAAGTAGGTCAAAGGTCAATTTAAAGGTCACAGTTAGATTACCAGTATATGACTTCCTATTCAAGTTTAACAGTAACTATGGGTGCATCTCTGCCAGTTTTAGAGATATAAGGGCTAGAAAATTTGCAAAGTTCAGTTCATGGTGAAAAGTACTGTAGGTCAGAGATCAATTTAAAGGTCACAGTTAGATTACTTGTATATTACTTCCTATTCAAGTTTAATAGTAACTATGGGCGTATCTTTGCCAGTTTTGGAGATACAAAGATCAGAAATTTTCAAAGTGCAGTTCATCATGAAAAGTAGGTCAAAAGTCAATTTCAAGGTCACAGTTAGATTACCAGTATATGACTTCCTATTCAAGTTCAATAGTAACTATGGGCATATCTCTGCTAATTTTGGAATATTTAACATTTTCCCCACTGAATATTGCAATGTTGTAATTTTTGATATAGCGCAATGCCTAAACCATATCGAAAACAAAAAAATGGACACCACCTCCAGTATAGCACTTGCATATTCTACATAATGAGATGAACAAAAGGTCTCTGGCATTTACCATTCCAGAATAAAAGCAAGTTTTCAGTTTCGGTATCTAATGGCTGCTTCTCCCGTGAAAATGCACGGATTGACTCCAAACTCCCAAAGATGAAAGGAGTCCCCAATTGTGACCCCTCACTATAACAGAAGAGCTTAGATCTGTGTAGTTTCAAAAAAAAAAGCACAAACAAATTTTTTTTTGCAGAAAATTCCCATTTTTAGACCTTGTTTGACCTTGAAAAAAAGGTCTAAAGTCAAATCCAAGGGCATATTTGGAATCTCCACATATGACTTTCGGTCAGACTTAATTCTGTAGTAATTTTTCCCATAATTCCTTTGGTTTGGGAGATATTTAGCCTTGAATTTCAAAAATTTTGACAAGGGTGCGTTTCAACGAGTGTCACGCCCAGGCCAATGCACCGACAGAGACAAAAAAACCAGGGTGTTCAAGTTGAGATTATATGTGACCTAAATCCAAGAGATGGAGACACAGGTCCTGGCGGTCTAGGAGGAGAAGCGGTAACGGTGACTTGTTTCCGACGCCCGACTGTGGAGCCGGTGGAGCCGCATTAGCCGGCGGAACTGTACGAGACAGGTCGGGACTAAAATCATGAGTACCGCCAGCGTATACGCTGGTGGTACTAATAAAGATGCAGAAAATAGGTTAATTTCTCATTTTGATGCAATAATAAATAATACTTGTAATAGCACAGTCAATCAACACTGAATTTAAGTCATGCACAACAGGTAACATGGTCAATAACAGGAGCGGATCCAAATGTATTTTCTGACAGTATTTTAAAATGTCTTTGTTAATCCATCCTCCGTTTTTGATGGTCTTCCAACAGAAAAAATAGATACCCGTCAATGTAAACTTTAAAATCTGACCGTCTTCTGGAAAACCCTGAAGACGATCCCAATCTGCCCCTATGATAAGATCACAGTTTCAGGACTACGAGAGTTCAAATTCACATGATGAAAATCACAATATGACAAATGAAAGCAGTGCATAGAATAATATAATGTTACATAATGTTTGAAGACATAAATACCAGTACAAATGCTTATGTGGAAAAACAGAAAATGTGCAGAGCTTCAGGTGGAGGGGAGTTAAAAATTCAGTTGAAATTCTCAGTGTTTAAAAAAATTAATAACAAAACATAACAAAATTATTCCAGTAAAGCTGCTTTTCAAACTTTTAGTCTTAATGTATAAGCATGTTATGAATAACCCCATTGAGTTTGAGGATAATAAGGCACTGTTGTTCATATACAGCATTAATGTTGGCATTATACAAAATAATTTTTTTGAGAATTTATTTGCAATATCAAACAACATTTACCTGCATAATTATCACTGCTTCCCTATTATGGACACTGTTATCTGGCAGAGAACTTAACCTATGGGAGTTTACAGGGAATCTCAACAAGTGTGATTTATATAATCTCATTTAATTGCCACTTGAAACTTAATTAGGCAAGTGACCTTATAGCTCTGAATTTAGCTAGTAGTTCCTCAAGGGAAGATTAGAGGCTTGTCACCCAAATGTGACTAGGAAAGGTATTCAGGCCCATGAAATGTCTAAGTCACAATTTTAAAAAAGCAGAAAATAATAATGCACAAAATAGGAGGCTGTCAGTTCTAATGTAATACAATGCTTAACTGCACAGTCAACCCCAAAATTTAATTATGCACAACAGCATATAACGATGTAAGTAAAAACAGGCCCATGAGAGTTCAAGCTCACACCAGAATGAGATAAATGAAAATTTCACAAAAAATGCATAATTCGATTAAAACAATAATTCAAAAGAGCTGTTTTTCTAATTTAAGCTGTTTGTCAATCCTAAGAACCATTTTTGTAAAGAAAAA